AAGTTTATTATTAGTAAATCAGTTATATGAGATGTATTCACATTATTTCATCGACAATCCCACCAAAGAATGTGATACGGGAAAATGTCTAGCCTTCCTTGGAATTTACATCAGCTCACGGGCACTCATTGCAATATGGCGGAATGATTAACGTGTCGAGATTGCATGCAGAACTGTAATGGTTCGACTTCTACTGGGGTTGTTGGTAAGACCTAAGTAAGATCTACTCTGGATGAGAAGAGCTTTGGGGAAAGCAGGGCTATGTGAAATACAATGGAAACGTCAGCTCTACTGGGAGAAAATTCAACTACCACCTTAAACGAAATTATGAATACACCTCACCAAGTATAGTAATCAGATATCTTAAATAAATGACAAGACAGGGAAGAAAGAATAAGAAAGTAGAAGTCAAACTTTATCCATTATAAATATTATAAATAAGAATGGAATTGAGATGTCGAAGAGGACTGCTTCGGGACAATCAACAAATAATGAATAAAGAAATTAGAAATTAAAAGCTATTACTTTAAGATAGAAAAAAATTAGAATAGATATGAAGACCATAAAGTTATGGATTCTGTAATAGTCGTAGTCTTTTTTCGCGGTATCTAAGTCGACTGACCACGTTTCGGCAATCTAGTCGAGTTGTCAAAAGTGTCTAGTTGAACGCACATTGGCGGAAGTCTTCTGGCATAGTAGTTACGTTAATTCCCGTGTTAGGACCATGCACATGGTACATTCTCCAACGTTTCGGTCGTATCGTCAGTGAGTCTTGCCAGTCTTAGCAAGAGGCTGCTACTCTTCACAGGCAAGTGAGGTCAATCCCTCTACCGAATTTCCGCCAAACGGCTGTGTTATCACTCATTCCATCCTGGTACATATTCCATATCCTCGTGATAGAAAATGTGTGACATGCAAGGATGGGGAATAGATGGATGTGACAAGAAATGAGGAAAATGTGATAAGACAGCTATTCGGCAGAAGATATTGGAATACCTTTGAGACGAGTAGAAGCGAATCGTAAGTTGGCTTCACCGGAAGCTGTAGTAGGATTAACTTAGCTTTGACTGTAGAATAATGCGAATAGGGCATCGGCCCGCAGCCTCGGGACCGAAAACAGACATTACTTTTGCTGTCATAATTACTTCGATCCAACACTACTGGTTTCGTACATATGCGCACACATACAGAGACAAGCATACTTACATGCACCGTGATTGGCACAGGACTGGAACTAACCAAATCACTTTATACCTCATCAAAGGGGCCAGATATAGGGTATATATATATAGCTTTTAGGTAGCTTTCTTGACTCGATAGCTTGAATATGGTTGCAAGGATGATACCCTGCTATGTTGATATTCGTCATATAACGGACAAGAACTTAGCACGCTTTTATCGTAATCGGAGATCACTTCGCAATGTTCCAGCAAGACCAGTTGATAGCCCTAATTGCTTTCCCAAAACTGCATTTAAAAAGAATGTGGAATTTTACTAATAAAAGCTTACCCTTTCTTGTCTTTTTGTAAGTGGTTTGACCTCGTTTTTGCGACTTAGTTGTGAACGCATAGTCCTTTGCCATGGTGTTTACGATAGCTCACAACGCCATTCCGTGGAGTTGGTACGTTCCCAGACGTTTTGCCGGCGTCGTTAGTGACTCTTGTCAGTCTTGACAGGCTGTCGATTGGCCTTGCTGGAACATTCCTGATGACGCTGTTTCCGAGGTAATCTTTGATTACGGTAAAAACGTGCTAAGTTTTCGTCCGTCATATGACGAGTATCATCCTTGCAACCATATTCAAGCTATCGAGACAAGAAAGCTACCTAAAAAGCTATAAATATGACCCTTTGATAAGGTATAAAGTTATTTGGTTAGTTCCAGTCCTACGTCAATCTCGGAGCATGTGAGTATGTTTGTCTCTGTATGTGTGCGCATATGTAAGAAACCAGTAGTGATGGAGCAAAGTAATTAGGACAGCAAAAGTAACGTCTGTTCTTGATCATCAAGTTTTGATTACCATTATCACCCTCTCTCTGTATATCTTTTAATTATCACTTCGATTGCGCAGGGTCAGACACATGTCTGATTATTTTCATAAGCATTTTTGTCCTCATGTGAAAGAAAGAGAAGGAAAAACGTACAGAGAATTGATCGTGATTAGAACCAAGAGAAGAAAAGGCTAGTTAAGTCGCCTCTTTTTTGCAGGCGGCTCAAAACATTCTTTATCCTCGAGTCCATTAATTAAGTACAAGTCGTTTTTACATAACTTCTTGCCGGTATTCCTTATATATAATGTATTCCATATTCGATTTATTTTGATGGCCTTTAATTTTATGTTTAGCCGCAGACACATAATAATCAGCAAAACTAGAAATTTGAGACCATTCAATCCCGTATCCAGCTTCTGCCTTGTGCTCAGCCAGCTCCGATTTTTGAACCCAACAGCCTCTGCAGGCTCTTTTGTGCTTAGCCGACCTTTGTCAAATGGAACGACAAGCCTCTCCAACATTAAAGCGACCACATGAACACATTATTTTGTAGCAACACGATTTAGAAAGCTGATAAACTTTCTCTATAATTGAAAAAAGTTATTATTTCTCTGAAGACCGTTTTTATTTTCCCCTTCCTTAGTAATTCGTCTATCCTTTTAAAAAGAAGGAACGAAGAAAAAGAACGGAGGAGATTCTAGCAAAGGACTTAAACTTTGAACATATAAAACTATAATTAGGGACCCAAAAGAAAGGCAACAATGTGTAGATAGCGGAGAACTCGAAAAGTGGAAAACGAACGCACTTCTTCAGCAAGATACTAGACGCCTAAACATGTATGGTCTGCCGAAAATTCATAAGCAAGATACCTCACTTAGGATTCTTATAAATAATAGAGGTAGCGTGATGCATAAAACATCACGATTTATATATACTCATTTAGGGCAAATCTCCGGAATTTGAAAGTTTTCGGCAAGGAACTTTTACGATCTTATAAAGTTACTTGATGGTCAGACGATAAAGAGATCTGCTGGTTAATTACAATGTATTTTCTATGTACACTAACGTTCCGATAGACGAAGCGATGAAGGCATTATAATTAACTCTATATCAACAACCCGAAATTATAACCGGTAAAAAGTTAGAAAAGGATTCGTTCATTAGATTAGTCAATTTAGAAATGTATAATAAATATTTTACCTTCGATGGTAGGTTGTATGAGAAAACATGGGGCCTAGCTATAAGATCTTGTTTAGCCCCTGTTTTAGCAAATAACTACGTGGTCCAATTATAAGTTGTTGTATTTCAAGAGGTACTCATAGTTCTAAAGTTATTAGTTCGTTATATGAACGATTACTTTACTGTTTAACAACATGGCAAAGGAAGTTTTGTTGAATTCATTGAGAGAATAAATAGAATAGATGTCAATACTAAGTTTACCATGGAGTTAGAAAAGAAAAATAAATGGGCTTTTTTGGATGCATTCGTGAACAAAGGTGACAAATTAGGTATAGACGTATATATGAAACCAAAACACGCGGGTTTCCACATTAATTTCTTATCCAACCATACATATAGAGTCAAAAAAGGAGTTATGAAGTCTATGATGAAGTCTGTCTAGCAGATATAAACAACAAGGACCAGGAGATCGATAGATTGAGGTATATACTGCTTCAAAACAATTACCCATCAGGATTAGTAGACAATTACATAGCAATTGTCAGTAACAAGATGAGA